GTTTGGGATTGGACAGTGTGTTTTGGGAGTGGGCAGTATGGATTCGGAGTGGGCAATATGGATTTCATAGAAAGGATTTCATAGAGGTCTACAGCATGGAAACAGGACCTTCAGCCCAACCTGTCCATGCTGCCCAGTTTTCACAATTAAACTAGTCCCATTTGCCTACATTTGGTCCATATCCCTCCATAACTATCCCATTCATGTACCTGTCTAAATGTTTCTTAAATGATGAAATAGTACTCGCTTCCACCACTACCTCTGGCAGCCCATTCCAGACCCTCACCACCCGCTGTGTGAAAAAAAACTGTCCCTCTGAACTCTTTTGTATCTCTCCCCTCTCACCTTAAATCTATGCCCTACAGTTTTAGACTGCCTTACCGAGTCTATCCACCTTATCTATGCCTCTCATGATTTTATAGTCCTCTCAGTATCCTATTCTCCAGAGAAAAATGTCCTAGCCTATCCAACCTCTCCTTATATCTCAAACCTGCCAGTCCATGGAACATCCTAGTAAATCTTTTCTGCACTCTTTCTAGTTTAATAATGTCCCTTTTATAGTAGGGCAACCAGAACTGCGCGCGGTATTCCAAATGTGGTCTCTTCGTCTTGTACAGTTGCAACAAGACGTCCCGACTCCTACACCCTGTGCTCTGACCATTGAAAGCAAGCATGCTGAAAGCCTTCTTCACCACCCTGTCTACCTATGACTCCACTTTCAAGGAGCTGGGACCCTGTACCCCTGGATTTCTTTGTTTAATAACACTTCCCGGTTAATAAAACTCTACCATTGACTGTGTAAGTCCTGCCTTGATTTGCCTTACCAAAATGCAACACCTCGCATTTATTTAAATTAAATTCTATTTGTCATTCCTCAGCCCACTGGCCCAGTAGATCAAAATCTCACTGCATTCCCAGATAACCTTCTTCACAGTCCACTATATTACCAATCTTGGTGTCAGCTGCAAACTTACTGACTAAACCTGCTAAATTTTCATTCAAATTGTTTAAGTATGATGAATTACAGTGGACCCAGCACCAATCCATGTGGCACACACAAACCTCCAGCCTGAAAAACAACTCTCCACCACCACCCTCTGTTTTCCACTGTCAAGCCAATTTTGTATCCAATTGGTTAACTCTCCCCGGATCCAGCGAGATTTAACCTTGGTCAACAACCTACCATGTGGTACCTTGTCAGAGGCCTTGCTGAAGTCTGTGTAGACAAAATCTACCACACTGCCCTCATCTATTTTCTTTGTCGCTCCTTCAAAAAGCTTTTGAAGTTTTGGGATTGGGAATGGGCAATGCAGATTGGGAGCAGGAGGTGCAGTTTGGGAGCAGGTAGTGCAATCTGGGGGCGGACAGTGCCGTTTGGGAGTGAGAAGTGCGGATTGGGAATAGGCAGAATAGACAGGGAGCAAAAGCCAGAAACCTAAACAATTTTACAAAACGGTTCTCATTGAATTTGCAGGTAATCTGTGGGAGGTGCTGAAGGATGAGAATTTAACTCCATATCCAGCAGTGTCGGTGCCTCCACAATGGCCATCGTTGTTTCCACTCTCCTGGAACACCTCTCCGACAGACAATAAAGGAGTCATCAGCCCTGGGAGCAGTACAGAGCAGAACCTGACTGTGTCCCAGCTAACGGACATCTACACCAACCGCATCAGTGTAGACACCAAGGCCAGCTCCAATCCAATAGCACTGGTCTGATCAGGAGCTACACAACAGTGAACTCAGTTTACAGCATTCAGCGTATTCCAGCATCAGGAGTCTGCCAGGAGCCAATTAAACATTTTCTCAATATAGGAGCCGTTGTGTGGAGATGTAGATATCGAAATCTCTCTGGCAAATACAGACTAATCATTGCCAATACTGAGCAGGTCCAGGGCAGGCATTAATATACAAGCAGACATCAAGATATGCAGTCATTACACAGAAGGAGGCCATTTGGCCCATCAAATCCAAGCAGCTCTCCGTAAAACTATTCAGTTTGTCTCATTCCACGCTCTATGAGAAGAATCATTGTGCCTCTTCTTTGGTTTTGTCCTATTCTCCAGCTCCCTCGTCATTCAAGGAGACTACTTTCTGTTCCCTACTTGGAATGTACCTGTTTTACATGAAACATCTTCTCTGTGAAGATTGCTAATTGTTCAATTACAGTTTCTCCTGTCAGTGTTTGTTTCATTCTGGCTAGATCTCCTTTCAACCCAATGACATGATCCTCTTCCAGCTTAGAAGGTCTACCTGACATTGTTCCTTGCTCTTGTCCATTTCTATTTGAAACCTCTGATACAATGATCACTCTTAACCAAATGCTCCCACATTTAGTCCACCTCACTGCCCAGAAGCAGATCTGGCTTCCTTCTAATGCTTCCTCTGTGATTGGTCCAGGTACACTCTTTGATCAAGTGTTTGGTATCTGACCCAATGTTTCCTTATGTGGCTCCAAGTCACATATTTTGTTTGATAATGTTTCTGTGAAGTGGCCGATTAAGTTTTACTTTGTTAATGATGAACATAAATATAAGTTGTTCATATGTGGCTCATTAAATGTCCCCAGAATAACCTTATCACAGTCTGTAATTCTTGCACATCTCTGTCTCTCTCTCCCTCTCCTCTCTCTGGAGAAGACTCCCAGCAACATGATCAATGACTGTTTTCTTCTCTGGTCTAACCAAATGGACCCTGTCCTTACCATGCCAAAGACATCCTCTCTTTCATACACCACACTGCCTCTCTCATCAGTTACCTAACCTAGCTCTATTTTCCTTCCCCATCTGTTCTGAACACTGTTCATTTTTAAGTTGCATTACGTTAAATTTCCACATACCTATGTAAGCTTCTCACTCGCTGAGAAATTACTTTAAACCCTCACACTAACAAACCTCACCCTGCAATGGTCCCTGACCTATTGAGGTGCAAATTACACCCCCTCCCATCCCAAATTGGTGCCTTCTGCCTCAGAACTGGTCCCAATGCCCCAAGAATCTGAAGCCCTCCTCCTGCCCTATGCACCATAATGCATTAGACAGAAAAACTGTACAGCACAGGAACGGGCCCTTTGGCCCACCATGTTGTGCCAAACAAGATGCCAAATTAAACTCATCCCTTCTGCCTGCCTTTGGTCCATACCCCTCTATTTGTTGCATATTCATGTGCTTATCTAAAAGTCCCTTAAATATCTCTATCGTTTCTGCCTCCACCCCCACCCCTGGCAGTGCGTTCCCGACTCCTACCAATCTCTGTGTAAAAAACTTACCCCTCACATCTCCTTTGAACTTTCCCCCACTCACCTTAAATGCATACCCACTAGTTTTAGGTATTTCAAATCTGGGATAAAGATTCTGACTGTCAACCCTGTCAATACATCTCATAATTTTATACACTTCTAACAAATCTCCCCGCAGCCTCTGCCGCTCCAGGGAAAACAACTTGAGCATTTCTAGCCTCTCCTTATAGCTCATACCCTCTAATGCAGGCAGAATCCTGGTAAATCGCTTCTGCACCCTCTCCAAAGTCTCCACATCCTTCCTATAACGTGGCAACCAGAATTGAACACAATGCTCTAAGTGTGGCCTGACCAAAGTCTTGTAAAGCTGCTACATGACATCCTGACTCTTGTCCTCAATTCCCTGACCAATAAAGACAAGCATGCCACACGCCTTCTTTACCACCCTATCTATTTGTATGGCCACTTTCAGAGAGCTATGGACTTGAACTCCAAGATCCTTCCGTACATCAATGCTGTTCCTCTTGATCTTCCTATTTCCATCCTCATGACAGAAAGGCACTGGGAGTGATCCAGGAGATCCCTGAAGCCCTTCTTTTTAACTTCCACCCTTGTTCCTGATAGACTCACTGTACAACCTGAATACATGCCCTCTTACTCTCACTAGCACCAGTTAGGACACAACTTCTGGCTCACTCCCTCCCTGCCCCAGCAGAGTATTCCACATCTGCTCTGGGATGCCCTTTACCCTGGCACCAGGAAAGTAATACACCATGTGGCGCACATGGTGAAGGCTACAGGAATGTCTGTCTGGTCCCCAATTTGAAGAATCTCCTAGAATGACTGCAAACTTTCCAGTCATTGCTGTTTTCTTTTGGACTGTCTCTTTCCCATTGGTCCCACCGTGTGAACTATAATCGTTCATGGTGTCCTCACTCCCACCAGTCTAAGACTCTGTATGTGTTAAAGAGTGACATGCACCCAGAGATTCCTGCCTCTTCTGACTCTTCCAAATGGCCATCCACCTGCTGTCCTGACCTCCCACTG